TTCAAAACACATATTTACCAATGAGCTGTTTGTGAATAATAATAGTGTAAAAAAGTGGTCGTACAACTTGTGAAAATATAGTCTACTTCGGTATTATTACTACTGTGATAATAGACCGAGTCACGGAATTGTAGCTATCCCATCATATGACTACCTAGTCTGTAAGATCTTATGTGGAAGTCACATGATTGTCTACACTATCTCGTCTTGTAGTGACACTCAGCAATATGACGTCTAGCACTTCTGCTAAACACACGTGAGCTGGCAAAAGAGCAATATGTTTGATGAAATAAATGGAACGTTATGTGAACGCTTCTGCATAACCAGACCAGGCCATTTCAATCCATTCTTCTTGCGTTCACCACTGTTAACCCGCTCTAAGTGTTACATGCCGATTGTAAGCCTGTTCGGAAATTATATGCCAGGTTTCAAAGGTCATGTGGTTAGGAACGAGTGCCACTACGAATTTATAACTCATGGACTTGAGCGCCCTCACACTTTACACCACATATCGAGTACATACCACTGATTGGATAAACTGACCATGTGACACTGCACCATTTTTTTCAGACTGACATCACTGACGGTTCATTCGCTTTGGACATATGGAGGCCAGGTATTAAAACGATTCCCCATGGAACCCCATTTGTAGACAGAAATATATGCAATATTTATATTAAAGTGTAATAAGTAAAAATTTATTCTGATTACAACCTGAAAACGTGAGAAAACTATTGTCTGGACTGTTATAATCGCCATGATCCTATACCCAGTAAAAGATGAAGGCAAAAACAGCCAGTATAGCGTCAGCCTCTGATGTAGTAGGCCTCGACATATACGATGGAAAATTTATATCAACGAATAGGACCTAGAGGATGCCAGCCAAATCACGCTTAATAGAGAGGCACTAGAGTAGATGGAAGCTCTCCCATATCAGGGTAGAATGATCGGTAAACAAGGAGGACCTGATGCAAATATATAGGCAAGGATTGGCAAAGCAAAAGCTACATTCCTACTGTTGAAGAACATATGGGACTCAAAACAACTCTCAACCAACATCAAAGTCACAATCCTCAGTACGACGGCCAAACAGTTATATTGTGAGAAGCTGAAACTTAGAGAACTACCACAAATATAATCAATATAATAAAGTGCACATCAGTGACATTTCACTGCGGCAAATAACAGTCCAACTTCCAGCCTAAGGAGAAACAAGGGGAAAACGCTGAAGACGGACAGGACATACATTGAGGTAACTGACAAAGTGCACAGCAAAGCAAGCCCTAATTCATAATTCCAGAGGCGAAAGGAAAAAGTGGAAGGAAGGAGGAACACAATGTGCCGGCATTTGGAGTCAGACGTCAAAATAATGAATAACCTCTGGAGACAAATGGAGACCTCAGGACAGAGTTGGTTGAAGAATCCTGATCGGTGGCTATGCTCCATGAAGGGTTAACTGGCATGAAGTACTTTGGAAGAAGACCATCATCACAATAAGTGTAGTTGTTTGGTTTGAATACCAATCTTAATTGTGCCATAGTATCAAGCAGGCGGGCATGGTTGTCTAACTTATAACGATTGGCTCTGAAGTTATAGTTTATTAACTTCTAGTACGAGACTGCCGACATTTGAGAATCAGGCCAGCTTTCACCTTTAGTACGATTTAATGAAGAATCAAAGTCTCACCAGGGATAGTTATTTTTGAAGGGTGACAATAAGAAGGAAAAATATAAACGTCATATCCTAGTGAAGATTAAATTAAAAGTAACTTCTGAGATCTATTTATGGGCAAATATAAAACACATATTCTTACTGTATAACTGTTGAGTAATCAGAATATGTATATTCATATTGCTCTTACAGCAAGTTTTACTTTGACTTGCAGACTATTATTGTATGATTTAATGTTCTTAAGATATGTCCGGTTTATTAATTATCATATCCCACGATCACAGCCGAGTTTGGCTAGATCTTGTACAAATGTTATTTCCTATTTTGTGGTGTGATGTGGTCTGGTTGGTTTGTATATAAATCAAGTGTTTGCAATAAATGATTCGTATAGCGATAGCTCGTATTGATGTTCTGGACTCAACTGGTAAGACTAGGAGGACAAAGAATGCTGCTCATACCGGTCGATACGTCATTCGTTTGGCACAGTACTAATACCGCATAAGTAGTATCATGATTGGTGAATAAATCACGTGATAGCTAACGGGGCCAAAAGTCACAACAGAAGCAAGATACTGTCACACTTTTCAGTTTGACAGAGTCATGTAATTTATTAAGGTTTGCAGTTATTTATCTCAAAGATTTGCTATTAATCACTAAACGTCTACTGGTTATCCTCATGAAGAATCCCACATCTAAAAAATAGTAGTTAAGATAAAGCCGTTGTTCATGTGACCCCATAAAAACACAAAAAAGGTAGTTGCTTGTTCCCTATTAACAGAAAGTTGCTTGAATATTATCAGGTTACGGACAAAATTCACGTTTTTACAAATAGTTTCGCAGACAATATTATGGCGCGTTTTTATTGGATCACACGTTGAAAATATTTTTACAAAGACTATCTAGCCAAAAGTATAAATGGAAATTCAAATAATTACACAGTTTAAGTGAAAGCTGAAGAGGGATGTTTTGACGTAGGCTCCCGGATAACAGACTCCTATTTAAGTTGGAAAATCCTGGAATTGCCGGACCTCTCCTTAAGTGGACCAATGATTTCTTGACAAGTCGTAGACAGGAAGTAAGGATCAACTCCGAGTGTTTCTATCAAAAATTAATACTTAGTGGAGCACCGTAAGACTTTGTCATAGGTCCTTTAGTTTTTATACTTTACATGAATGAACTCCTAAGTATAGTTGAGTATTCAGTGCTACTATACTGCCGTTCGATAGCTGTTGAGGAGTTCATGACCTTATGATCTTTAAGGCGGACATTTATTAAGTTAGAGACTAACATGTTCACTAAAGCATACACAACATTAATTTGATCCAAACTTGAAAACTGATTTCAGGCTCCAAGACCCTGTTAGAAAAACGATTCGAATGTCCTAAAGAATCAAAAACGACGGCTACTCGTGCAATTTCAGAATCCTTGGGTTTAACATACAGGTGCGGTTTCAGAAGCTAGACCTCATTACCTCGTTCTACTACGAATTAAGAGGTGATCTGATTTTGATATACAGAATACCAAGAAATGAGTAAGACCTGAATTATCCTCTTTTTCTTTCTAACATATTAGGACAACTTAGAGGACATAATAGGAGAGCGAAAAAGACAAGAATGGACAAAATACCCGTGACATGTAGATTTACACACCGAATAATCAATTCTTAGAAACAGTCACCCGAAAATGTGGTTTGTCACTTCAGAAGACCCATTCAACAGGAGACTAAACACGCTTAGAATCTGACACGGGCCGTAAGCCTTCTGTTCTCAGTACATGAATATGAATCTGATATAAAGCACATAATTGACCTGACCTCAACGTAAGCGCGTTCTACGTCTCTTGCGTTACATCGGTTAGAAGTTTGCTGTGCAGTTCATATTATTGTTGGCTTACATGGAGGATGCTACTGAATAAGCAGCAGTATAAAAGTAGATTCTGGGCCATGAGGCGTACGAAATATAACTTGACACTTGACTAATAATAAGGAGGGATGATAAAGGAGTAATAGTGGGAATTTCCGAGAAATACTAGGGAGATTCCTTAAGAAGTGTCGCTATGTATATGGGCGAAAATAAATCAAGTTGTGGCTTTTTTTCCCAACGCGATGGGAATGGCAGGTTTTTTGTGAATTTCCCCGTCAAGTAGAAATGTCTAGAAATTAACTACTTGACCTTCCTCGAAATTACCACTGTATTGTCTATCCCCGGATCTTCCTCTGAGTTGTCTACCTTTCTCTTATATTAGCACTTTAAGTGGTTGAATTTTAGTGTAATTAACAGACTGGTTCACTAAATAGTCGATAGTTTTTACCTATAGTTGATAATTGGACGTCAACATTTTACTGATAGATATGGTTCTTTAACCATTCCGAAAAAGAAAAAGAACGTAATTAGTGTGAGGATTATTAAGCATATTTATTATGAAGAATGATCCCTAGTTCAAACAAAGTAATAATGCATACCAGGGTTTACCTGCTATACCTAGGTCGGTTCAGCGTATTCTATGTAATCGAGGTTAGTTTTAGTTTTAAGAATATTTATTTAATGAAAGCGGGTAACACTATAAGGAATTGGCGCGATAAAGGCGTTTCGAATGAGAAATAGCGTCTTCATCACTTGGATTTCAAAACAGATCAGCAATTGTAGTTTTATATGTGTGGTGAGACTATAATTTATGGACGACCTTTGAGCGACGCTGAAGTGATCTTGAAAGCGGACACCAACTGATTAGGACTTGGTGAGGGTCGTAAAACAGTCAGAATTTCCATATACAGTTAATGGTTAGGGTTTTCATCACTAACTGACATCAACTATAATGCCGAACGTGATAAGACATTTACAAAACGTTGGAATATTGAAGAATATACTTATTTTTGAATGTGGGTGCAAATCGATGCCGGATTTATTCACAGAAACATAAGGTAAAACGGCGTTTCACCATAATTCTTGCTAAGTGCAAAGGTCACTAGGGACTAGGTCGTTTTTCTATCCGTGCACCATTGATTTGGAATCAGAGTTTCCCACTTCTCCTAGGTGGATTATTCAAATCCATCGACCCGGTTAAAGCTCTGAGCATTCGTTTTTCGTCTTCTCAGCTTCGTAAACATCACCCACACCGCGAGAAGGCAGTGAGTAGGACTTCCCTAGTAGTGGCTGTATACGCGTGGCCACGTGAGAGCATTTGGGAAGGGAGGGTTGACTCTCCTCGATCCTGACCATATCAAGGCGTTTGGGGGCTGATGTTCTCGTTTTTTTTATAAGTAGGTGTGGCAAATTCTTTATGTCTATATCTGTGTATATGGAGTTAAATTAATGTATTTTCTTTAGAAAATGGAACTTTGTACCAATCCTAGTTTAGTAATCCCATATGGATCTCATTCTTCAGGACAGTGTGGTTATTGTAAAAATAGTTCTGACGACAAAAAGACGAATTGGGGTAATGCTAAAATTATTTAGGAAAACACGTATTACTATGTTTATTTTATCAAAGGTATGATGGCTGAACGACTTACTGTTTCAGATTATCAATATATGATCGATCGAGGATGGCGTCGGTATGTCATTTTTTCCAATTGTCGAAATAATTGTTTACAGATCAGGTACTTACTGTTATAAACCTTTAAATGATATTACTTGTTGTCCATCATATACTATTCGATGTGATGCATTACATTTCCATTTAAAGAAATCACATAAAAGAGTGTTGAAAAATATGTACAATTTTTTAAAGTTTGGACAGTTACCTCATGAAAAAATATCTCATCAAAAAGAGGATCTTAATAATCTTAGAACGGATGATCATCGTATGTTTGTTCCTGAGGAAAAAACGATGCCTGTTTTATCATTTAAAAATGGTAAATTGATTATTATCTTTATGTCGGTAATTATGTGTTGTTCTGTTATCGTTGTTTTAATTATAAAAATACCGGTGTCATTCGTCGGTCATAATATTAGGTATGGTAAAATTACGCATGATTATTTTAATGAAGATAGCAGAAATCCTTGACTATTGGTATGAACTTGTGTTAGTAGGTCCTATTCTGCAAATCATTCTTTTCTCTTAAATCACACAATAGCAGTTATTTTATAGTCATTGAAAACATACATGCGTTCAAACACTACATACCTCGACGTGTAATTTTGCCTGTAGTAGTAGGAAGTTGGACGAAATCTAGGGTTGCTCAGGTCTAGACATTGCATCAATCCATAAAACGATTGATTATTGAGCTGAGTGATGTTGGCATGTTCAGATAACCTGGTGTGAGTCCGCGCAATGACTGAGATTAGTGGCTGAAGAGATCGGGTGTCATGGCACAGAATTGATTTTAATGCTGTTTTTGCATTCACTGTGTCTTCCCTTAGATATTCAGTTCCGAGGTACTCTTTGATTTTTAAATTCACCCTCTTTTTTGGTTGTATTTGCCAACATTTAATCTTCATTGCTACTATGATTTGAACTTTTGTTATTCATCTTGTTGTGTCAATGTGATATCGCAACTTGGGCTGATACAGTCTCAAACTTTATTTTGGCCATGACTTACGTAACAACGTCACCTCATATGATATCAAAATTAAAAACGTTAAGTTATCTAACTAAAGTCAGTCCGTGATTTAAAATTACAAATTTAACAATTTCTAAAGACCCTTCATACTAATAATTGTTTATGCTTAACAATTCAATGTTAAACAGTCGCCGCAGTTCAACAAAATGAAGAGAAAACAAAAAGCCGAACAAATATATATCAAACAGATTGTTTCGGCGATAAAATATCATCATCAACAGAAAACGCCCCTAGTACATCACATTATACATTAAATACATCAAATGATAGTAATAATAATAATAATGTGGAATTTCAAAGTATTCCATCAGGTGATAAAATTCAAAGTTCATCGTCGCATGGCAGTCACAAAATGAAAGCTCATCTTCGTCGTTGGATAGCTAAACAAGAACATTTACGTCATAGAAGCCTAAAAGAAAATCGTTCATTTGAAATTTTACTTCAGGTATTATTTTCTAGTATATTTTTCAGAAGATATTATAAATTGATTTTTTGTTGTGAAATTAAAGATAGCAGTTGACAAATAGATTGTTTAATTAACTGTATACTATGAACACACGACTTGTAATTAAGTAATTTACAGTTTGAACGCCGTTCATCAGTCTTTGATATGAAGTACGAAACATATATTTACCGAGACCAACACTAAATGCGACATTACAATTGTGTACTCAACTTAGACTGGGTGCAATGAGTAGTTGTGTATACTTATCAATGTAAATTAATTATGGGAAGTATATGTTTAAACCGTTTGAAGTAAGAGTAGCAGCTCTTTTTACTGGTGTTACATTTTACTTGATGGTTAGTGAGTTTCTGTAATCTGTTACTCATTGTCAACTATTGAGTAATCACATTGGAACCTTTTTATCTAACTTAGTGTAAAGAAGCGTACATCATGCAGATGTACATCTAGACTGCGGAAATATTTAAAAATATATCAAGAGACTAAAATATGCGGTAACAATGTACTAGGCAACTGTTTTGTTCTGCGCATGCTTGTTTTCGAGCTATACTTTTGAGTTTAAGCCATCTAGCTTTCAACTATTGGGTCGTTGGTTTCATACGTTACTTCACCTACTTTAGTTCAGTTAACTGTATATCAGTATGAGTAGTTTCCACCCACATACGATCAAGATCAGTTGTTGAAGTCTTTGGGTTACACGCCTCAGAGACACTTGATTATGGGTTTTATGCCGTTTGATTCCCATCAGAGGTGTAGTTGTAATCTGGAGAAAAATGATACTCCGTCGCAGATTCGATCCCGTGTCATTCAGCTTTACGGTCTGTGACTTTACCACTGGTTTGTTAGGATCGCGGCTAATCTGTGGGATTGAGATATTTACGGTTTGTCAGTCACTGAGCAGTGACGAATATCGTGTTCGTCAATCCTTTCTTAGTGCTGATCGGATTGTATTTCAAAGTCTCCTGTCGATCACTTTCAATCACATGATATACCAATAGGGTGCACCTAATCACATTGCAACTTGATCGATGTAATTCAATCAGTCTTAAAGGACCACACTAACATGACATTGATCAATACTCCAAAAATCAATCAATTGTAAGTGTTGCTAACTTACTAAAGACAAACATTTTTCATTGTGGAAATTTTTCAATTGTTTCTCATTTATTGTTGTTATTGCTACCAGGAGTACTATGAAAGACGTCAGAAACGTTTAGATAAAAATAAACCAAAGCAAGTTGAAGATTTTCTACAATCTGAACCAAACAAAGGAGAAGGAAAGCACTTTATCGAAGTATGTGTGCAAATTTTCGTTTTTTTTTGCTAATAGAAATAAATGATATTTATACCACTAATCCATGAAATTCCTAATTATTTACTTCACTTTATTCTGGAATCCTTTAATTGATTGATGGTTTGTGCAAACATCTGGGTTTCGAACTCGACACTCATTAATTCAAATCTTATACTGTTTTTTATTTTCATATCAATTAGCTTGTGGTCAAATTCTCTTGTATAGTTCGCATTCACTCATTCATTATGTAGACATTGAAATTCAAATATAATCATGAACAACAGTTCCACTGGATTATAGACTTTCAAGATTATATGATGACAAGCAGGTTTCCTAAATTTTAGATATTTATTATATATATGCCATAAACGCACTAAATGTTAAGTTTTCACACTTACGTTCAAGAAATGCGATGCGTTCCGACATAAGTGTTCTCTCTCCGTGTTTAAAGCTTATTTCACTAAAGTTAATGATATTTATTACCCCCACTAGTTGAAGATCATAATAATGGATATTTTCAATTCCTACTGTTTACTGCTGCCAAATGCCCTGGCACGACTGAGGGTAAGGAGAGTCAGTTCTCCCCTTCCAAATGCTCTCACATTGCCACGCGTATACAGCCACTACCAGGGAAGTCCTACTCACTACCTTCTCGCGGTGTGGTTGATGTTTACGAAGCTGAGAAGACGAAAAGCGAATGCTCAGAGCTTTAACCGGGTCGGTGGATATGAAGGATCCACCTAGGATAGTTGAAAAACCCTGACTCCAAACCGATGGTGTACATGGTATCCAGTATCCTGAGTGAGCAAACGGCGTATGGACCTATTGTTAGTTGAAAGAGTAATATTTCACTCTTATTTTGTGTAGTATTCGTTAGGCATTATATTTCACTTTTCTATTTCCGAATCATAATAAGAATCGGGTGAGAACCTCATATATTTCAATAATCCGAACTACGAAGATATATCATTACAATTGGAGTATATATAAGGTTTTTACAAGAATCTTCTAGTATACTTTAAACTTATCCACTAACTCTGACTGGTTGAAAATGGACCAACAATCTCATTCCGATTTGATCCTGATGCTGAAATGCAATATGTATATTCACGGCTCTATTGTTCTAACATGTGAGGTAAATGTTTGCGTTTTATTCTGGTTAGCGTTTTTTAGCGAGTTAGTTGGGGTTGCTAACCCCATGCCCAACCCTACTCTTTTACCCGGGCTTAAAACTGGCAGTAACTTTAGAAGAGCTACAGGCGGAGTTAAGGTAAATGTTTGAAGCAATGATAAACCACTTTACTATTTTATTTATCTTCATTTCATGTTTATCAATCTTTGTATATGATAATTATAATAGTAATATACTTTTGTAATTAATGATTCTCATATTATAGATTCGTTTAATACGTACATCTTCACCAACAGATATCGATTATGAATCTCGTATAAAATTATCTCATAGAATTTATGAACAATATCAAATTCATATACATAAAGATGAGAAAGAAGATTGTACTTGGGAGAAATTTCAACGTTTCTTAGTTAAATCTCCATTAGTATTGGTAAGAGATATAATAATAATGATAATAATAATAGTCTGAAGATATTTTATTCAATAATGAAACTTCAAGATCCTGTTTTCAATCACAATGTGTGTGTGTCTGTTTAAGGGGATTGGGAACGGGTTGATCAGTAGTATACATTGCTCTTCTGTGAATAGTTTTAAGATAGAATAAAGTTTCTATCTAATTCTGTTCATTTCTTACCAATTCTCTGGTTCAATATTATGTTGCTTGGTGTACAATCGTTCTGCATAATTTTATAATTAATCTCATTGATTGAGATTATGAGCCAATTGAAGTTAGACTACCATGGAAAACCTGGAAGCACTGGACAGCCGTCTCGTCCTACTGCAGGAATCCTCAGTAGTGCGCATCCACGATCCCGCCTCGCGAGATTCGAACCCAGGACTTATCAGTCTCGCGCGCGAACGCTTAACCCCTAAACCACAGTCGGCATCCAACGGTGGTAATGTCTAACTTCAACTAATCCACGAAATTGAGTGACATATTCACCATTGTCTTCAGTGAGTTACTATCTCACAACAGACCCAACTGAACTCCATTGGTGACTGCTTCTCACTAGAACTTCAGGAAATACCTCTTGAAGCCAGTCACTAGTGAACATATCAAAAGGGGAGGAGTCTCAGGTTTTTCATGGTGGTCTAGCTTCAATTGATACATGATCTCAACTATTAAAATTACTATAATATCTACAAAAACCCCTTCTGATATTAGTTTTATAATTGTTCAAATTAGTTTCTAGTCTTTGTTAATAATAAATTGAAATTTTCTAGATGTGAACGGTTTTAATATATAATTACTTGTAATCACCCAATATTAGTTAAATTATAATAACATATTAACTCCTGTGGTTTATGGTTATCAAATTAAAACTTGACTGATAAAATTCAATTAGTCTTAGGGAATAGACAACAAAACATTGTTTACTATTCACTTATCGACCAGTGTATACATCCCAGTTTTGCAGTAGCTCAGTAGTTATCGATATAGATATTGGCATTCAGTGGTGCAAGCTTGAATTTCATATCATGTATCAAAACTCACCTTCCTCACTGTTGTAGATTAACGTTCCAGATGAATAATATCAACCAGCTTAAAACCTAAATTCAGAGTTTTCCTCTGATTAGTTCCAACTAACTGACAGTTAGAGATGATACATGTTAATTCGATCATAATCTACTGACAGAATTTAAAATGTATAATTTATATGTTATCTTAAAACTGTGTATGTAACGATACCACTACACATTTATACCCAGTTTTCATCCAACTGTATCTGCTACTTAGAGGTTACATCGACACCCGAACTAGTGATAGGGAGTGAGGTAGTTGAGTGTGTCGACCGCTTCACTTATCTTGGAAGTCTCATCAGCCCTTGTGGTTTAGTGTGTGACGAAATCTCAGCACGGATACAGAAGGCTCGACTAGCTTTTGCTAACTTGCGTCATTTATGGCGTAGGCGAGATATCCGTCTATCAACCAAAGGACGTGTTTACTGCGCAGCAGTTCGTTCCGTCCTACTTTATGGCAGTGAAACATGGCCGGTAAGAGTAGAGGATATTCGTAGGTTACTAGTATTTGATCATAGGTGTCTTCGAAATATTGCTCGTATATCATGGGACCATCGAGTAAGTAACACAGTTGTTAGGAAACGGGTACTAGGTAAGGATGGCAAATCAATTGATGAAGTAGTGAAACTTCATCAGTTGAGATGGCTTGGACACGTGTTACGTATGCCCAACGACCGACTGCCTCGACGTGCTATGTTCAGTGGTATAGGAGTAGGTTGGAAGAAAGCTAGGGGCGGCCAAACCAAAACATGGCACAAGTCCATGAAGTCACTGACAAGTGGTCTGAGTCATGTCGGTAGGTGTAGACTACCTGGCTGGGGACCGCGAGATGATAGCAACCGATGGTTAGAGACCCTGAATGACATGGCTCAAAATCGTTTGCAATGGCGCAGGTGCATCCACTCTCTGTGTTCTCCCAAATTCTAATCTTCTGAATCCTTCATGCCCCTTTTTTCCTCTTTCCAAATTTATTTCACTGTATTATACTCTTTAAATAACATCTCCGAACCCTAATCTTCCGATTACTGCTTATACTCTTGCTACCTCTACCACTACGGGATTTGAATAGACACCTGCATCTCTGTGCTAATGTGGTGTGGCAACTCGAACTGATGTACATATGTACGAAGTTCTACGTTGTTACTGACTGACTGACTGCTACTTAGAGGTAGTGGTTGGTCATGTCATTCGTGATGGCCAGTCGAACTAGATTAGTAGGAATCCTCGTTACGTTAAGTAATACTACACCAAAGAGGCCGGTCGAAAAGCAGTAAGTTTGAAATAAGAGAAACCAAGGTTCAAGAGTGACGTCGTACTACTGACTATAGTCAGGTGTAACGGAAGTAAGGTATTTCCCTCTGAAAAACCCACATCTACATTATAAAATGCCGACCCTAAAAATAGGTCACCTCAGGTTAACTCACAGATTTCCATCTCAAACAGTAAGGTTTAAATAATATAGGGCTGATATATCAAGAACTACTTTCTGAAAGACCATATGTGACCTCCCTAAAGTAATTGTCCCTTGGGCTTTGCGATAACTCCTAGATTGACAAGATCACACTTAAGGTAACTCGCTTTTCAGGCCCCTCAATAAGAAGTATACATGTACCATGTAGACAACTATCACTAACCGGCTGCCTACTTGTCTCTAACTGTATTTTGGACTACCTTGTTCATACGCATAAGTTTAAAATAAAATACTGATGTATTGGGGGTCATTGTTAGAATGCTTTTAAGTTTCACATACTTCTTTTTTACTTAATAGTAAAACTTATCCATAAATATAATCATCAACCATATATACTTGACACTAAAACTATGAATGATTATTGTGTACAAAAATTATTTATTAACATTCATGTGCGAATTTCTCGTCTATGACTGAATAAATTTTCTTAAAGGACGATTTTGAATGGAATTCAACTTCACCAATGTTTGGTTCTTATCATCAACAATATTGGCTTGATGGTGAAAAATTGATTGCTGTCGGTGTTATCGATCTACTTCCACGATGTCTTTCATCTGTTTATGTTTTCTATGATCCGAACTATTCATTTCTTCATCTTGGTACATATACTGCTTTACGGTGAGTCATTAAACACAGAGTTATTTTAAATAGTGTACTTCACTCACACCACTCGACCGTTGTTGCTACCTTGACGTGGTGGTCGGGCTTGCCTATCGTGACGAAGCAACCGAGCTATACTGGCTGGAACAACCGTTCCTCAAGGTCCTACCATGTCAGACAGGTCTGTTGAAGAGCGGTAAGACTAAAAGCAACAAACCCAAGGTCCGTAGGCGAAGTCGTACTGCTGGCTGTACAGAGGTGTGATAGCAGTAAGGTGTTTCCTTCAGACAACCAGCATGACAGCGATGCTGCCTTCCCACAAGGAGGGGTGGGGTTAGAAAAGGTCGACCCTAAAAATGCACACCTCGCCTTATCCCACGGATATCCGTCTCCGGCGGTAAGGTCTCAACAAGTACGGAGCTAACACGAAAATTACTCACAAAAAGGTCGTGTATGACTGACCTCAAGTTGTTCTTTGGGTACTGCTCTCACGCTCTTAGGTCACAAAGACCACCTCTAACCCAATTTCGTTTTTAGATATCTCAAGAAAAGCCCTTCCACGGTGTGGGCAACCGGGAAGTGATAACCGCCCTCATACCTCTAACAGCACTCAAGACCACTGTATTCATAATCAACCTCCCTCTCCAATTCCTATTATTCCTCCTACATCGACTTTCAACTCTATATTTCCTCTCTCGGCTTCCACCTCAAGTGTCACCGTAGCCAACGATTCTAGTGCGCAAAACACTGTCCCAGGTCTACTGAAACCTCGCTCCAAACTACACATTGGAGCCTTCAACGTACGCACCCTATGTCAAATCGGTCAACAGGCTTCCTTGGCTAAAACCCTAGAGTCTCTTACCATTGATGTATGCTGTGTCTCTGAAACACGCATACAGGATCCCAGTGTGGTCATTCACTTGACCTCACCTCGGCAAAACGGAGAGCCAACGAGATACACCCTCCGTGTATCTGGTGACCCGATGGCAAGTTCTCGTGGACTGGCAGGTGTAGGCATAGCACTAAGCATGAGGGCCGAACAAGCACTGCTAGAGTGGATCCCCGTCAACAGTCGTCTATGTGCTGTTCGGCTGAACGGCTCCGTAAGAACTCGGAAGGATAGGGACACACGTCGTTGCCTTTTTGTCGTTTCTGCCTACGCTCCCACTGACTGCAGCTCAGATGAAGTGAAAGATGAATTTTACAGAAAGCTATCCGAACTTCTTCAGAAAGCTAAACGCTCAGACATAGTACTCGTAGCAGGTGACTTTAATGCTCAGATAGGCAGTTTAAACCAAACAGAAAGGCATTTAGGTGGGTATTTTAGTATTCCGGCACAACGAACAGATAATGGTGATCGTCTGCTGCAACTGTGCTCAGACAATCGTTTATTTTTAGCAAACACAAATTTTAAGCATAAGGAGAGACATCGTCTAACATGGCGACCCCCTACACCAAACCAACGATGGACTCAAATAGACCATATTGCCATCAGTCATCGTTGGAGAGGGTCGGTACAAGATTGTTGCTCATTCTGGAGTACCACAGGGTTACAAAGAACCAATGGATTTCCTCAAGGTCTATTGCACTGATGGATTCTCGTAAACTCATCCCATCAGGCTCTGAACACGATGAAGAGCGAAAACAAATCAGATCTAGGTTAAGCAAAAGTCTAAGGAACGACCGTGAGCAGTGGTGGGCAACGAAAGTAAAAGAGATGGAAAAGGCGGCGACTATAAGGAACACAATACAGCTTTACAGACTAATAAAAGAAACTGGAATTAACGAATCAAGTGTAAGTCAGACTATTTCGGAGAAAGACGACACACTCATCTGCTGTCAGTCCGAACGTTTAGAACGATGGGCGGAACATTTCAGATAACAGTTCAGCTGGCCTTCAGCTACTCTACAACTACCCTCCATTCCCAGACAGTATGAATGGTTGGAAGAAAGTTAGAGGCGGCCAAACCAAAACGTGGCATCAGTGCTTGAAGGCACTAACTTTTGGTGTGAGCCATTTTGGTGGATGCAGACTACTTGGTTGGGGTCCGCGTGACTATCGTAACCAATGGTTGGAGACTCTTGGTGACATGGCTCAGAATCGATCACAATGGCGTAGGTGCATACACTCTCTGTCTTCCCTTAAACTGTGAGATTAAAATCACTTCATATCTTTCTTTCTACCAACTAATTCTTTCTTCCCGTACTATATCCTTATATTCAATCGTTCTTTTATATATTACCACAACTGAATTAACTACTTCTATGAATTTGGTGTTCATCTTGTTGTGTTAATGCGGTATGGCAACTTGGACCGATGCATATATGTGCCTGGTCCTACGTTGTAGCTGACTGACTCACTCACACCATATTCATGTCGATTAACTTGACTGCGAGTCATATGATACTGCCCGGGTACCCAGACCGAAGCAGGTGGTTTTTTAGAGGGCCACGCCCAGGGCCTTTGATCTAAAGGTCTGATCCATAAGGCAGTGGAGCAACGTAAGGAGATGCAGTCCCATGTTAGCCGGTGACCAACAATTGGTTCATACGCCACTCGTTCCCCCAGGATACTGGATTCCATGTGCACCATTGGTTTAGAATCAGGGTTTTCCAACTTTCCTAGGTGGATCCTTCATATCCACCGAACTGGTTAAAGCACCGGACATTCGCTTTTCGTCTTCTCAATTTCGTAAACAACACCCTTGCCACGAGAAGGCAGTGAGTAGGACTTTATTTATTTATTTGAACACATAAAAATTGGTACAATGGTGCACCAAATATATATGCGTCACAGAAAACAATGAGAATTTGAAGAGAAGAAAAAAAAGTAAGGAGCGTTAAAAGAAGGACAATAACGAACAGATTAGTGTAAGGTAGTGTAATAATAATAATAATGGGGAAACAAAAACGTAGAATCAGAAGAGATCTTTCAGTTAAGGAAGAAGCAACCACTTTTTATGAAGAAAGTAAAAGAAGGTTACAGCAGGATCGCCACTGGCTTCTATTTTGAGCCATATCTGATAACGTCTCTAGCCACTGTGTAGCACCATCTCTCGGACCCCAATCAGGGAGTCGTGAAGGACCAACACAAGCCAGCCCTTTGCGGCGTTCTTTCATCCCACGACACCATGTCATATACTGACCACCTCTCCTCTTCTTCCAACCAGTCCCAGAGTCGGCAAATAATGCACTACGTGTAATTCCCTGGGACGACATTCGTAGAACATGTCCAAGCCACCGAAGTCGGTGTTTCAAGATGGTGACACCGATTGCATTATCGTCTCTGTGCCCGAACACACGATGCCTAACCTCTTCATTACCAAAATGGTGTTGCCACTGGATGTCAGCAATCCTTCGGAGATGATGCTGAAGCACAGAGATCGTCTAACATCCTCAACTCGGAGAGGCCAGGTTTCACAAGCATAGAGCAGAACTGCTCTCACCGACGCGTTGTAGATCCGACCTTGTACTGTCAGACTAACATCACGATGGCGCCAAAATGACCCAGATTGGCATAAGTCGCTCTGGCTTTCAGTGTACGAGAATTGGCCTCATCACTCAGACCACCACTAGCACTTAAGGAGCTACCCAGGTACACGAACTTCTCGACTATTTCTATCTGCTCACTACCCACAGTTAGTGCAGGATCAGGGTCCTGCAAGCCTTATAAAAGTACTTTGCACTTAGAAGGTGCAAAGCACATACCGTACCTACGGACAATGACTGCCAACTGATTCAGTGCGGATTACATGGCTTATGTATCAGCGCGCAGTAAGACAATATCATCCGCATACTTAAGGCCGAAAAGTCTTTCTCCAGGCAAAAATTCCACACCGCCATTACTTACATCCATCAGAGCTGTTTCTAGAATGCCATCGATGGCAAAGTTGAAGCGGAATGGTGAGACGGGATGCCACCAGATCCCAGTGGAGGAAGAAATCAGGAAGGAGCGCTGGGAGTGGATAGGATACACATTGATGAATGCATCCAACTGCGTCACAAGGCAAGCCCTTACATGGAATTCTCAAGGCCAAATGAGGAGAAGAAGACCAAATAAGACATTACACTGAGAAATGGAGACAGATACGAGAAGAATGAACAAGAATTGAATAGAACTAGAAAGATTGGTGCAGAATAATATGAATTCATTTTATTTCGTTAGGTTCTCATCAGCTGCTTACAACCTAAATTGTTTTAAAATTCAACATTATTACAGATATTGACATATTTATACATAAAAAGGTGATTAAGGATGAATAAATGTATCATGGTGTAGCGAAGATTCCGATAGAGTTAATGAAGTCATATAATTTTGTCTCGAACAAATAAAGTTTGAGAGGGAAAGTTCCGGAACATTGAAATAGTGATTAGAACTCATGAAAATAGATTAATGGTAATAAAGAAACTATATGAATTGAAATCAATCAGTTATGTATGATGTAATTTAAACTTCAGAAAGAGTTGGAATAATGAATGACGTAATAAATAAATAAATAGAAATAAATGAATAAAAAGGAGGGGGTTATTGTTACCAGGGTAAAGAAAGATTTATTACAGTCTCTTTTTGTATACATAGATCTGGTGTTAGACGTTTGATTGTTAATGCTTCAGCAAATTTCAAAAGGTTGGAGCTTGATTGTTTATTAATCACCTTGAAGGACTTCGGTGTATCGACTTCGTATCCTGTGTCAAGGAGATATTTTGCGATGGCACTGTTGAATGCTTTCAATCCATTTGATGTTAAAATTTTCGGAATATGTTCTTTGAATCGGACGTAAGCTCTCCTTCCTGTTCTACCAACGTAGCTGCTTTGGCAGATACATGTGAATTTGTATACACAGTTGGCGGTAACATAAAAGGCATACATGTCGACCCTTTCTAGTGCTTTTCACCTCTTAAATAAATTGTAATGTGATATATATATATATATATATATATATATATATATATATATATATATATATATATATATATATACATACAACTTCAATCATTTGTTCATACTAAAATCGAGT